CCGAGTTTGAACCCACCATGTTTAGATATCCCGTGTGAACAGCCCTTAGGCTTCAACCTTTATGGAAGCACAGTGCTAGAATTGACTTTGGATGTAGAATCTGGAAAAAACATAGTGACAGCTGAAATCTTAATTAAAGACTTACTGAAATAGTGACATCTATTGGCCTGATAATCCATACGAATTTCTGATTTTTTGATACTAATCTAGTGTTTTATCAATCCACAAAATAGTTAACATCTGAACATCAATTCCAGCAGTAACAACAAAAAAATATCCTTAAAATAACATTATACGTGCGTACAGCGCTAGCTATTCAGTTAGCTAATGGAGCGCCAGAAATAACATCATGATATTACTAGAATGAAAGCTCCGAAACGATCTTTCTGGTTTCTAGCTGAAGAGCTGGTATTTTGCATATGAACTTATTTTAGAATATCTATCTAGTCAAACATGAAGCGTTGTTTAGAAACTCAGTGTCATGCTACTGTCTCGCCAACTCCAGATGCATCCATATGAATAAAGTTTCCTTCCAAGTTACTTTACTTACTCTATCTTTCCTCGACACGTTTTACCGTACCTTACCATCAAAAGTTCGCAACGGTTCTCTACCTGCCACTTTATTCATATTCCACATGTCCATTATTCGGGTATAAAAGAAATCCAAAGACGATATATCCGATTTTGTACAGTTGGATTTCAAAAATGAATCATATTCACGTTTGGACATCTTTGCCTGTTTGTGCGACGAATAATTCTGATATTCCTAAGCGAAGAGTATATTTTTCAGATGATTCACATGCGTGGTCCCACACGTATCGCGGACAGAATAGGAATGATACATTTACTTTGGTTAGTACCAAAGGACAGATACAGTAAGTGGGAAAAGTGTTTGTGCAATAGAGACAAAAAGAACTTGTGATGTCATTATCTCTTGAGCAAATAAAGTTAGAAAATTTTTCTTGATATGAATAAAGCTAGGAGTTAAGGCTATAAAATGGTAAAAGAAAAAATTTTCTGACTTTATTTACTCAAGAGATAATGACATTACAAGTTTTTTTGTCACTATTGCACAAACACTTTTTCCACTTACTGTGGGTGATTATTTACATTACATACGGACCTTTTATCAAGTTAAGTAAATGATATCGTTTCGTTTCAAACTCAGTTGCAGTTTTGAAACTAAAATATTTCTATTAATATGTAGAGAAAAACAGATGAATAATTGTCTTTTGCGGTGTGAAGAATAAATTATTTATCCTTATACGTTGCGCGAAGTAAGGATTTGTGAAAAAAGAAGTAAATATCATACCCCAAGGTCGAATAAGAATTGAAACAGTACAGTATCTGCTACTGCAGATGCTTATAATTTGAAAGACGATAACTTAATAATGGAAAACAAGAGCTTCTAAACTTTTCAGATAAATTTCGAACATCACTTATGTCGTCTGCTTATGGAAAAATCGATCGACCAAAAGATTACAATGCGACAGAATTAGATCGTCTGATTCCAATAGAAACTACCACTAAATATAATAAATTAGTATCTGTACATTCATTAACTAGTCTGTTACGAGAACAAAATATAAACGAATCAAAATTAATTTCATATTTACAGCATTTGCTAAACAATGAAATTAAACTGGGAAACACTTATCCACAAAAAAATATACTTAATTTGTCTGAATTTGTTAACTATTTTCTATCTGGTGATGTTTTCATCGTTGTCAATAGCGGAAAAATACGATTTAATGAATTAGAGAATAGTTTAGAAGAAAATGTATTGGGAACGTTTTATATTAAGCCAAACTTTCCTGGACGTTGTTCTCACGTAAATAATTAGAATGATTTTGTTTTAATCGTTTTTTGTATAGCGGCGCTCAAAATTCTCGTCCTATTTTTAATTTTAGCTTGTCTCCTCGATCACAATAGCTAAACAAACTTAAAGAAAGATTTTAAATAACTCTAAGTGTTTTCCTATCTGATGCCGGCGGAAAACACATCGTCTTAAAGTTTTCGGAACCTGTATCTATCGCAAAGGAAAATCTTCAAAAATTAAGTCGCCAAAATGGATCGGTTCATTTTTTATAGACAGCTGTATGATGTAGAGCAAAGATTTTTGAACAAAGTAAGACGTCTCGGACCTCACTACTGCACTCTTTCGTGAAATAGCATTCAGTTGACGAAACGTCTCATACCACAACTCAACAGAAAACAGGAAACATATGCTCTGAGGTCTTTCCATTGTCGAGAGACGCAGGTTCTTGAAATTTTGGTTCAATTCGTATATTTAACGTCATCAGATGAAAAATTCTTTGCGCTATTCGAGTTTTTCTTCAGATTTTGTTCCAGGCCTAGTTCATAAACAATGTCACGCAAAAATATGTTCTTTTTATCTCCTATTTCTTCAGTCTTCCAGAGATTACTTTTATAAAAGGTGCACTATGAAATTCTCTACAAAACAGAGTATAAAATATGTAAATTTCTTCCAGAAATTATTTTGAAAGGTAAAAAAATAAAGATCTTTGAAATGTTGTGTTTCGTAAACATGAAAATGATGATTGTAGAACCAAAATATTTCGTGATTGAAGCGACGCAGTATGTTTAAGAACAATCAAACGCTGGGTAATAGTGATCAATAAAAGCGACTCTATCGATCTATCGTCTGAGCACTGCTCAATCCAGAAGTGAATCAACGTTTAACTAGAAAGAAGCAAATGTCAAAAAGATAATTACCCAAAGACCTTGACATATCACCCACGAGTATTTATCAAATATTAACTAATAACGTTGGATGTTATTCTTGCAAAGCTATCAAAGAGCCAGCGATTATCGATGTACAAAAAGTGAAAAGAAAAGTTAATAGTTATAAGAACAGTTTATTTATTAGGTTCGAGATAATTTCAAAAAGGATAACATAAAATAAATGGTTATTTTCCCATGAAAAAAATTTCGATATAGATGCTGTTAGTTTTCAGTTCTCAAAATGATTGTATATGGACTATTAATCATGTTCTATATACCAAAAGAGATCATTTGGTGAAAAATGAATATGAATATGAATATATATATAAATGAATATTGACAAAACTTACGGTTTGATTTGGAGCATTTTTCGAAGGCTCAATAGCGCTAGTGATCTTGGACTGTCAAAGTTCGGTAGATCATGCCAGATATATCAATGAAATACTCCTAATTGCGTTAAAATTTGTAAATAAGATGTTGGTCGTTGACCGGACGTTGCGACAAAACGAAGCTTCCGTTGATCAATAATATTTAACATCAAAATGGTCCCGTGGGAGCCAGTAGTCGTTTATTCTAAAAGAACGGTACGCACTAAACAGTTCTTATACAAATCGCGTGAACTATCGTATTTGGAACGAATTCACTTTCATGTTGTGAAAACTTTTATAATGAATTGTGCCGTATTTTAAAAAACGTTGGAGACTATTTGCATTAAATATCCTGATCTGTAGAGAACTTCACGGCGCTTCTTTTGTAAAAATAATCTTTGGCGGACTAAAGATAAAAGGAAAATATTGAGCGGGACACACCTTATGGATCGTTCCTGATTATACGGTTAACAAGAAAAACTAAAAATAAAGGTGGTCGATCCAATAAATTTGAGCGCCACTGTACAGTATCATCCAATTTAGATTTGTAATGGAGGATTTATCACTGCGCCTGGTCATCGAAATCAAGGCATTGGTAAAATTATGGCATTAGCCTTTATTCAATTTGCTCCTTTATTAGGTTACAAAGCTTCTATGTTCAACTTGGTATTTGTAAATAATACACCTAGTGTTCGTCTTTGGAAATCATTAGGTTTCAAAGAAATTGGAAGAATTCCAAATGCTGGAAGACTTCTGATAAGAAACGAAGAAATGGAAGGAACAACTACAGAACAACGAGAAGAATTTGTTGATGCTATTATGTATTACTATAGTTTTATTTGAAAATACACGTGATGTACCGTTTTGTCGTTTATTAGTGGTACATGGCGAAAAAATCAGACCAAATCAAAATTGAGAATAAAATAAAAAAAAACTCAGTTTTAAAAAGCTGTTTATTTGCGTTTATATATTCCTTCTGTTATGAGTCAAAACAATACAAAACTGTCGAGAAACAGCGAGTTAAATGCATGAGAATGATGAGTCTTTAAGCTTGAGATTCTTACTTCAATTAGATGAATATTGCGCGTGAGGGTAAGATTATTACTATAACTAACTAAAAGGGATAGAAAATAATCGATATATACTAGGTATGTATGTCTGGCACGTTTCATTTCAAACCATGTCATCGACGGACTTTGCCTGACTGTCACTAAAAGTAAATTATTTAAGCCGCAGAATAAGACGTTCCCTCTCTAGCTCCGTCCATTAGGTCGTTGAAAATCTATAAGTTTTACGCATGGTGTCATGCACAAGTTAACAACTGAATCATTTTTAACGGTGAAGAATTTCAAAATCGATAAGACGACTAACACCATCTTATATACAGTTGAGTTACTGTTTCACTTGAGACTAGTTTCGTCTTTATTCAAAAGACATCGCCAGTCAAATGATGATAAAAAACTTTTCCTCTCCTTATGAGCACAGGAGAAGTGCTCAAGTGAAACAGTAACTTAACTATGTATAAGGTGATGTTAGTCTTATTTAGGTATGTTACAAACCCAAACCCAAGTCTGGACTTGGGTTTGGGATTGGGTACCCAAGTCTGAGACTTGGGTTTGGGTATTGAGTCATACTTGGGTTATTAAAAGACTCCTTTTAACTGAGATAACTTCTTTTGTTGTGGCTCTTTGAGAAAACAGGATGTAAGATGTTTATTTCGGCCTGTGGGCATACGTAATGCCTTACGCTAACGATAAGA